ATGAAACTCAAAGTAAAACACATATCATGAATAAAAGCCAGCACTCGTGAGAGCCAATACTTATCAGACTCTCACACATGGACAATACAGAAATTGTGAAAAACAAAATATAAATTAAGGATACTTAAAGATGCAAATACAAAGCTTAATTTATGTGAAGATGAATTTTTCTTACTTAAAGACATTCCAACCTAGTATTTTTTTATTTCTTTTATTCATATGTGAATACAATGTTTGGGTCATTTCTCCCTCCTTCCCCCTACCCCCTCCCTTTCCCTATCCCCTCTCTCCCCCCCACTCCCTTGCTACCAGGCAGAAACTATTTTGCCCTTATCTCTAATTTTGTTGAAGAGAGAGTATAAGCAATAATAGGAAGGAACAAGGGTTTTTGCTAGTTGACATAAGGATAGCTAGACAGGGAGTTGACTCTCATTGCTTTCCTGTACATATGTGTTACATTCTAAATTAATTCTTCTCGAACTAACCTTTTCTCTACTTCCTGGTCCCCTTCTCTGATTGGCCTCAGTTGCTTTAAAGTTTCTGCATTAGATCCTTTGCATTGAGGACATCAAATGCTATCTTGGTTTTTTTTGGGTTTCTTGCCTATCCTCATAACCTCCCTTGTGTGCTCTCACCTCATCATGTGATCAAAGTCCAATCCCCTTGCTGTGTTTGCCTTTGATCTAATGTCCACATATGAGGGAGAACATACAATTTTTGGTCTTCTGGGCCTGGCTAACCTCACTCAGAACATTTCGTTCTTCTTCATGGCTGCATAAAATTCCATTGTGTATAAATACCACATTTTCTTAATCCATTCATCAGTAGTGGGGCATCTTGGCTGTTTCCATAACTTGGCTATTGTGAATAGTGCTGCAATAAACATGGGTGTGCAGGTGCCTTTGGAGTAACCTGTGTTGCATTCCTTTGAGTATACCCCCAAGAGTGGTATTGCTGGATCATATGGCAGATCTATGTTTAGATTTTTAAGAAGCCTCCCAATTTTTGTTCTAGAGTGGTTGTACTAGTTTACATTCCCACCAACAGTGTAGAGGGTTCCTTTTTCCTCATATCCTTGCCAACACCTGTTGTTGGTGGTGTTGCTGATGATGGCTATTCTAACAGGGGTGAGGTGGAATCTTAGTGTGGTTTTGATTTGCATTTCCTTTATTGCTAGAGATGGTGAGCATTTTTTCATGTGTTTTTTGGCCATTTGGATTTCTTCTTTTGAGAAAGTTCTGTTTAGTTCAGTTGCCCATTTCTTTATTGGTTCATTAATTTTGGGAGAATTTAGCTTTTTAAGTTCCCTATATATTCTGGTTATCAGTCCTTTGTCTGATGTGTAACTGGCAAATATTTTCTCCCACTCTCTTTTCAGTTTAGAGACCATTTCTTTTGTTGAGCAGAAGCTTTTTAGTTTTATGAGGTCCCATTTATCTATGCTATCTCTTAGTTGCTGTGCTGCTGGGGTTCCATTGAGAAAGGTCTTGTCTATACCTATTAGTTCCAGAGTATTTACTACTCTTTCCTGTATCAACTTTAGAGTTTGGGGTCTGATATTAAGATCCTTGATCCATTTTGAGTTAATCTTGGTATAGGGTGATATACATGTATCTAGTTTCAGTTTTTTGCAGACTGCTAACCAGTTTTCCCAGCAGTTTTTGTTGAAGAGGCTGCTATTTCTCCATCGTATATTTTTAGCTCCTTTGTCAAACACAAGTTGGTTATAGTTGTGTGGCTTCATATCTGGGTCCTTTATTCTGTTCCACTGGTCTTCATGTCTGTTTTTGTGCCAGTACCATGCTGTTTTTATTGTTATTGCTTTGTAACATAGTTTGAAGTCGGGTATTGTGATACTTCCAGCATTGACCTTTTTTGCTGAGTATTGCCTTGGCTATTCACAGTCTCTGTGTTTCCAAATAAGTTTAATGGTACATTTTTCAATCTCTGTGATGAATGTCATTGGCATTTTGATGGGAATTGCACTAAACATGTAGATTACTTTTGGGAGTATAGACATTTTTTCTATGTTGATCCTACCAATCCATGAGCATGGGAGATCTCTCCACTTTCTATAGTCTTCCTCAATCTCTTTCTTCAGGAGTTTATAGTTTTCCTTGTAGAGGTCTTTCACATCCTTTGTTAAGTTTACACCTAGGTATTTGATTTTTTTTTGAGGCTATTGTAAATGGAATTGTTTTCATGTATTCTTTCTCAATTTGTTTAACCTAGTATTTCATGCAGTTTATTGCTGCCTTTCATTGTTGAAATAACTGTATTAAAAAAAACTGTGTTTATTATGCCAAATCATACAAAATTGGTAGTTGACCTTTTGGGCTTCAAAATGACAATTTCATATAAATATGTAATATATATGAATATAATAAAATATTGATAATAATTACAGATGTCTTAAGAGTACCTTACCATATCTATAGCCATAAGCTGAAATACTAAGATAAGACAACAAAAAGGCAGAAAAAGACACCAAGGACCACCATAAATATTTAAGGTGTTCAGTTATTTGAACTCATTAGATTGTTCTATCCGTGGGCCAGGTACAATTCTAAAAGCTTTACAAACAACAGTCAATTGTACCCTTAGACTATATGTCTGTGAGGTGGGTACTTTGTCCGGTAACAATGAAGTGGCAAAGCCAAGATTCTACCCCAGGTCATTTGACTCCACAGCGCTTGCACTAAAACATACACTATGCAACTCTAAGCCGTTATGCTATTCTGTGCTAGAAGAAAACCACCAGAAAAGTAATCAACCCCACAAATTTAATTGAGAAATTGGATGTAAGCATAAGGACATTGTTGCAGATATCACCATCACATAACAGAGCTCTCCCAAAATAGCAACGTAACAAACTGTGATGCTCAAGGATTCTAGAGTCAGGGAGTCAGAATGGGACTTGCAGGGATGACTTATCTCTGTTCCTAAGACCAGGAGCCACAGAGGTGGAGATTCTAACTGGCTGGCAGCTGCAGGCCTTTTGGAGGCTTCTCCACTGAGATTTTTTTTTTTTTTTTTTTTTCTGGTGGTAGTGGTACTGGGGTTTGAACTCAGGGCCTCACAAATGCTAGGCAGGCTCTCTACCACTTGAGCCATTCCCCCAGCTCTATTTTGTGTTGGGTATTTTCAAACTAGGATCTCGTGAACGATTTGCCTAGGGTTGGCTTGGAACTTCGATCTTCCTGATCTCTGCCTGCTGAGCAGCTAGGATACAGGTGTGAACCACCCGGGCCCAGCTTCCACTCATATTTTTGATTGGTGAACTGAGATGACTCAAAGGCTGGGCTCAGAAGAGCCTGGAACCCATAGGCAGCCCCTCTATATGGCTTGGGTTTCTCCTGAATGGCAGCTGGATTCAGAGAGGGAGAATCCAGACAGCAAACATCTTGAAGTTGCCAGGACTAAGCAGCAGGGCTTCTTTTGACCCAATTAGAAGTTCTGCAGCTTCTCTTCCTCACATTCTCGCTTATAAGCAAGTCGCTAAGGCCAGCCCCAACTAAACAATAGGGAATTAGATCCCATCTCTTTTTTTTTTTTTTTTTCATTTTTCTTTTATTATTCATATGTGCATACAAGGCTTGGTTTATTTCTCCCCCCTGCCCCCACCCCCTCCCTTACCACCCACTCCACCCCCTCCCGCTCCCCCCCTCAATACCCAGCAGAAACTATTTTGCCCTTATCTCTAATTTTGTTGTAGAGAGAGTATAAGCAATAATAGGAAGGAACAAGGGGTTTTGCTGGTTGAGATAAGGATAGCTATACAGGGCATTGACTCACATTGATTTCCTGTGCGTGGGAGAAAACAAGGTAATGTCACAGAAGAGCAAGTGAGTGAGCTACAGTATTGCAGCCACCTCTGAAAACACAATTGAGCAAAGTGTCACAAAGATTGTTGACAGAGTAATTGGTCCTGGGACATTCTCATTTGCAAGTAACAACTAACTAGCTTAAACATGAGGGGTTTTTATCCTACAAAATAAAAGGGCAAGAGGCAGAGCAAGTCAGGGGCACTCCAGTTGCTCAGTGGTGTCACCAAGACCCCTGCTTTCCATCCTCTCATTCGTCAGCTCTGCATGTTTAATGTACCTCTGTCCCTGGTTTGAAGTTGGCTGAAGCAACCATAAACATCAGAAGGAAGCAACAAAATCAAGCAAGGAAGAAAGAATGTTTGCTACTAGGGCTTCTTTTAATCAGGAAGAACTACTTCCCCACCAAAACCTCAACAGTCTACTTAGCTTCAGGTCCCAGTGGTAAGGGGCCTTACTTTACCCATGTCTATGCCATATCTGAAAAGGAAGCTGGGAAAGAAAACAACTAGCTTTTTTGGCTTCTTTAAAATTATAAGTGTTTCTGTGAGGAAAAAAAGGAGAGGAGAGAGTGCATGGTTGAGGGGGATGACTGTCAGCCAGGAACACCAGTGTTGACCAGACACAGGCCATCATTCATTCACTTAGCAATTATTAGCCGAAGGTCAATTAAGAGTCAAGCACAGTGTTAAGAGGCAGGGCCACATCTGTAATAAAGACACACCATCCTGCCCTCACTTAGGCTTTACAGTCTGCACAGAGCAGAGACACTTTGTGCAGTGACGAAATTCAGCACACACGTGCTAAAGTGCTATGAAAAGAGATATATGATCAGTGTGCATTTAGCTACAAATATAAAATCTTTATTTATGGAAGTATACTGAAACGAAAAGTGAAATTATAGTTATAAGCACAAAAAGAAACACAAGATCCTTACTAAGTCTGAAAAGAATTCATTGAAAGAGTGAATTTTCGCACTGTGTCAGAGAGTGAAGCATTGTGCCTGGCAAGTACCAGTGTCCCCATCTGTCACTGGAAAAGTCACTTCACTGAGGGTCAGCCTTCATCCACTGGGATTTACTGGCCACCCGTGACCTCTCTTTTGGGACTAGCCCTACTTCCTTGCACTAACAGGAACTCAAATCAACCCTCCCCTTGGCAGCACCAGAAACCCACCTGGTACATTCCTTTGATAACAGCTATGGCATCAGTTAGCTGCTGTTGAAAGGATTTTCTCATGTTATCTTCATTCTGCAAAGGGAAAATAAATGCAATAAGCACCACAATGTGTTTCCAAATACAGCTCAAACCTGCTAGAGAGGAACTCAGTAAAAAAAAGTCACCACAATCTCCTGAGAACTTCAATTTATAACCATTTCTCCTGTTCTTATAACACATTTAACTCTGACTTACACTTAACCAAAAGCAATAGACAGAGCCTATGAATAAAATAAATATGGGTAATTTGAACACTTCATTTCCTTTCACACATCAGCTAAAGATTTTTAGTGCCTTCCTAGGACGGCTGGTGAGAGTAGTAAAATCTACTTATGGTTCATAGCTCCTTCTGGTCCTTGTACTTTTGGATGGGATATGCTCAAGAGAATAAATCCAGGGTCAAGTTCAGAGGCTTAAGCCTCTAATGCCAACTATATGGGAGATGGAGCTGGATTTCCATTCAAGGCTAGCCTGGGCAAAAAAAGTTATCAAGACCCCATCTTAAAGAGCAAGTCAGGTGTGTTGATCACTTCTGTAAGACTGTACCTGAAAAATAACAAAAGCAAAAAAGGCTGGAGGTGGGACTCAAGAGATAGACTGCTTGTGTAATAAGTGCAAGGCCTTGAGTTCAATCTCCAGTACTGCAAAAATAAATATATGAGCCACAAACATAAATATATGGCTCATGTAATCCTGTACTGGGAGTCAGAGATCAGGAGTCTCATGGCTTGAGGCCAGCCTGGGCAAATAGCTTGAGAGTCCCTATCTCAAAAATACCCAACACGAATCAGGGTTGGCAAGTGACTCAAGGGGTAGAGTGTCTGCCTAGCAAGTGTGAGGCCATGAGTTCAAACCTCAGTACCACCATAAATAAATAAATATAAAGAAAAGTCTAGAGTGGTTAATCTGTAAAGTAGGGTCATTTTCACATTAATCACTCAGATTATTTGATTTTATCTGTTTAGGTGAAAAATGAAAGCATTTTTAAAAAATGCTCTTGATTCTGTTATCAGTTCTGATTCCAGTATGGAGTGTAAGCAACAAAAAATAGAGTCTAGAAAGACTGAATTTAAATATTGTGCCTGTCCTCTGAACATATCTTGCACTTAGCCTTACAAGTTCCATTTTTTTATCTGTAGATCAGGGGTAACAGGATTTCCATTTTAAGATTTTCAGTGACTTAAAGCATGGTAGTATAGTCTTGTTTTATAGCCCAGAAATAATATTGACGCCTGTTCTTAATAACAGATAAGTATGTCACCGTGCCAAAGATTTTAGGGAATTCCTTGAAGCAGCAGTTTTCGTCTTTGGCTCCTACAGAGCCACTAAAGCATAAATAAAGTAAAAAAATGTGATGACGAGCAAGAACTCAAGCATCAAGTAGCCTAACCCCTTGCTGTATAACTGGTGACCCCGAGAAAGTTAGTTAACCTTTCTGTGCTTCAACTTCCTTCTCTGTAAAAGAGGAAGACTATTTATACCTGCTTTATAGTGGGAGGAATAATGATTTCACATACAAAGTACTCTGAAAAGTTGCCAACACACAGTAAAGCAGTTAGTACTAAGTTGCCCTTGTAAATTACCAGATTCAAAACTATAGCACAGATCTCGGTTCAAGAGGATCAAGCCACGTATGGAAACAGAAAACTAGAGAATGCGTACCTCTTGGTAATGTTTTTCTATCCCTAGGATCCTGTCGTATAGAGTAGTGAAGATATTCAAAGACTCCTCTTTAAGACGGTCCTCAAACTTCAGTTGAAGCAATTCCTTGAGGAATGCAAAATCCACGTGAAGAGATGTAATCATCTAAAAATTGAAAACATGGATTATTGTAGAGTGAAGCCCTCTGTGAAAATATTCAAGCACATTCCTTGGTTCTGAGCATATGACTCAGAACCTGAGCCGCTTTTAAGATTACCTCTCAGATGTGGTGGAATTGGGGAATTCCACTAATTCCATCTCATGGGATCTTAGGCTTCCAAAGTGACAGTCAATTTGCAAACTAAAACATGCTAATGGAGTGCTATGGTTTGTCTTGTCTGAAGCGCTTATTGGAGCTTCAATGTCCCAGTGCAAGACATTAGACTTAATTGGACTGTGGTGTTTAGAGGTGGGGCTGTTGGAAGCTGATTGGGATTAGATAAGGTCATGGATGAGGAACAGAGAGAGGTGGAAGGAGGGAATGGAGGGATGGAGCAGGAAGTGACAGGGAGTGCATGTTAATAAAAGGTTCCCCAAAGTGGTCACGTACCATTACCACCTAAATCCTACTGACCAAAACTTAGTCATCACCTAGTTATAAGGGAGTAAAATTATAAAACTTTTCTGATAACTGTCTTTATAAAAGAAGACAATAAATTGGCAAGTATGTTGGAAAGAGATGTCTTCAAAACCTACTAGTGAAGCAAATTGGTACAATCTCTATGCAGCGCAATTTGGCAAAATATCTTTCAAAATGACTAATGCACATATCCTCTGACTCAGAAATTCCACTTTTAAGAATTCACATCACAGATTTACTGGCACATGAGTATGTATAGGATTACTCATCACAGTAAAAGATTAAAAACTGCCAAAATGTCTGTCAATAGAGGGATAGCTAAATATATGATAAACATTTTGTGACATGATGTACTTGTGAAATAAATGAAGAAACAATTTTTGTGGTGATGGGATGGAACTCAGGGTCTCACGCATGCTAGGCAAATCTTCTACTGCTGAGCTACATCCCTGACCCCTTTTAATTTTATCTTTTTAAATTTTTAAGATAGGGCCTCTGTAAGTCACCCAGGATGGACTTGGACTTGTGATCCTCCTGTTTTTTTGCCTCCTGAGTGCTGGGGTTACAAGGCATGCTTTACCATGCCCAGCTATGAGGAAACTGTTCATGTACCGATGTGGAATGATTTCTAAGGTATATTAAATGAAAAACTAAAAGCAAGGTACCCAAGAGCATTTGATTTAGTATATGTGTCAGTTTTATTGATTAGGGTTTTTAATAATCACTCTTGATATCTGATGCATATGAAATGTTTTATTCCTTTACAATCAGGAAGAAACCAAAGGAAATATGATATAATGTCAAGATTTGACAAAAGTGTGTGATAGGATACAGAGTTATTCAGTATATTATTCTCTATACTCATTTATATTAAAAAATATTTTATAGTACCCTAAATAGGAAGTGCTCACAGATATCACAAGAATAAAGAGTATCAAAAACATTTCTAAACAAGTTTATATATGTAAGTATGACATAAATATAATTTGTAGCTTATTAATAACTTTAAAAAACACAACTGTCATTCAGTTCAATTTGTCAAAGATACCAATTTTTCTTCTTTTGGTAGTACTGAGGTTTGAACTCAAGGTGTGATGCTTGCTAGGCAGGTGCTCCACCACTTAAGCCACTCCACCAGCCCATCTTCATGCTGAGTATTTTCAAGATAGGAGTTCATGAACTACTTGCCTGGGGCTGGCTTCAAACTTCGATCTTCCAGATCTCTGCCTCCTGACTAGCCAGGATTATAGGTGCGAGCCACCAGCAGCACCCTGCTGTGGATATTAATACTTAAAAAATTTTAAAACCTTCAATACTGTCAATAAAAGACACATGAAAACAAATGATGTTTAAAATTAGATGTTTAAAAATAAATCCTGAGTTACCTGTAATAACTTTTCTGTAGATGAAGTCAACTCTTTTAGTTGCAAAATTTCACTAGAATCCGTTTGGGAAGCATGGTCTGAGGTAAAAAAGCCAATCCTTAAGTCATCTGAAATGTTAAGTCTGGAAAAAAAAAAGAGGTTAAATCTGCTTTATGTCATATACGCCCTTAGAAATATGCAAGCATGTACATTTTTGGGTAAGTCAGATTATATTTAGAGTATTCTTAGGGACTGGCACAGTGAAGAAACTTCTGGATGATGTGCTCAATGCTTGTGTGTTTTTTTTTGATGGAACTGAGGTTTGCACTCAGGTCTTCATGCTTGCTAGGCAGACACTCTGCCACTCTATCCACTCTGCCAACAGTGCTTCGGATTTTCAGGAGGGCTCTTGCCTGATGGTCAGATTCTCTGGACTGTGGAAGGTAACTCTACTGAGTCTCACCTCATTTCTACTCTTCTGAAATCTCATCAAGTTCAGGATTTTCTTTTACTATCTTAACTACTGTTACTAACTGTGCTTCTTCTAGAAGCAATTATAAATTACGCATGGCCATATCCAACAGAATCCTTTGAGACAGTGGTGTGGTGTGAGGGAACCCGCAAGATCAAAACAGTTTTCGTAATACTCTTAACATTTCGTCTTTTTCATTACGCTACTCTCATGCACTTCCAGTGGAGTTTTCCAGTGGTTGCAGGTTATGTGACTGCTTGACAGGCTGATTACAGAAGCAGCCATGAGAATTCAGCTGTCTTCCGTTAAGCCAGGCGATCTGAAAAAAAATAGTGACACTTTTCTTATTAAAATTTTGGTCTTGGAAAACAGTTACTTTTTATTTGTATTAATATGTAATTGATTTATCATTATCTTAGGTGAATGAATATATGTATTTAATTTCTTCTTTTCAATGTTGCCTATGGCAACTATCAAATAGATATGATCTATCTGAACTAAGCTCTTTGAAGTGGCCAGAAATTTTATGAATGGTAAGATGTCCTGAAGTCAAAAAGGTTGAGACTTTCTTCTTTAAGATAATCATACCATCATCCTGTATTTGATTGTCAGCCCTGTTCTGGAAACATCTGAATGGACCAGGAGCAGGTCTTTGTACACTCCTTCCACAGTTCTCTATGGACAGGTGTTTCAAACAGTAATAAGAAGGCCAGTTTTCTGGATGTATTCTCTCTGTCAGCTCAATCAAATTTACCACAACTCTGTTTCTAAAACATCTACTAGCAAAAAGATTTTTTTAAGAAGAAAGAAAGAAAGAGAGAGGACCAAAGTCCAAAGACAATCACTGAACAAAGGCTCTAAAGACAGTGTCTGTCTCTCTCATGGCCTCATAGGCTAACCAGCTTTGAGGACTCTGACAGAGATACCCACACCCTCTACCGCCCAGCCTCCCACTGCTTGCTGCGCAGAGCCTCAGATGTGGTCTCAGAGAACTCAGGGGAGGTTGACTATGTTCTCAGTGCCAAAGGTAACTCCTGTCCGGTCCAAATTCACCATGACAATCCCATTCTTCTTGGCAAAGAATGACAAAGGGTGAGCACAGAACCTGTTTGTGGTGCGGTGCCATCAGGAAAGGTCCATTGGGGGTTTGGGGAATGCTTTTAACACTCCCATACTGAAGGCACCAGGAGAGTTTTCTTCTGTGACTCTGGACGTAGTCAAGTGTAGAAGGAATGGCCAAGGGTAGACATCCCATGACCACAAAAGGGACTAGCCAGAGGGTAAAGCCAGTATCTAGACAATAAGCTTTCAACAAAGATAGGAATAAATTTGACTGGCAACTATGTTCAACTATTGACTTAACTACCTCTGGAAACTATCATACTTCTGGCCTCCCCGTAACGTCACGTAATAAATGTACCACCGTTGGCAGTTTCTGTCAACCACAGCACAGAGCATCCTGATATTCTTGCATGTGACTTCAGGGAAATTACTCAACCCTTCTGTGCCTTAGTTTCCTCTTACAGAAAACAACAATGCCTATTTTATGAGGTTACTGTAAGGATTGAGTGCATTAATATTTAGAAGCTCTTTAAAGCCCATAAGGAATATTACCTATTATGGGTGGTATGAAGATCATTATCACTACTGTCTTGTGATATTTTGAAACATCACAATTTTTTCATCATATGTGGAGAAAAGTACGCAAGGATAGCAATATTCCATGAAGAGAGACTAATTTGAAATTGAAAATGTTTTAACATTCAAAGTAATGATTTCCAATTAATTCCACTAAATTCTCACAAACCTTCCACATGCTCATCAATATTATAATGATGACAAACTGTGCCTACAGCATTATCTGGGTGTGGATGGAGCATCTGAATTTCAATGAGAATTTCTAGTGTGTTTTCCGGAAGAAATTGTTTTTTAGATTCAATCTAACTCATTTTAGGAGCTTGCATTTTTTTTCCCTCGCTAACACAGGAACATCGGAAGAGGCACTCTCCGTGGGCCCTGGGCGCCCTTCATGTTGGTTTTGGCTATGTCAAGAATGCAAAGCCCTGGCCACTCTCTCTGCAGGCCATTTTTAGAGTTACATTTGCAGTAAGCAACCCTGATGGATGAGATAATGTCTTCCTCCTACCAAGGAGCAGGCTTACTATAAAAATAGTGATTCCCCAAATTCAGGGCTTCTCTTCTTCATGTAATGCTTCGTGTATGGGCAACGATGATGGGTCTTTTGCATCACCTCCATTGGAATTGGGGGCAGGGAGAATACAAGCTCTGACTACTGTGTATTGATAAGGCCCTTTGTCTCTGACCTAGGAATCTTCTGTCTTCTGCCGAGGGCCATGGGACAGTAGCAGGAAATCTTGAACATTGCACCGTCCTGACCCAGCATCTAACCCAGAAAATCCTTTCAAAAACTGCTTATAACTAGGTATGGTGGCTGACATCTGTAATCCCAGAAGGGAGATCATGAGATCAAGGACAGACTGGGCTGCATAAGGAAATCCTGTTGCAGCCAGGCGCTGGTGGCTCACACCTATAATCTTAACTACTTGAGATTAGGAAGATCTTTATTCAAGGCCAGCCTGGGCAAAATTTGGAAGACCCCATCTCCAAAATAAAGCAAAATGGACTGCACGTGTGGCTCAAGCAGTGGAGTGCCTGCTTTGCAAGCACAGAGCCCTGAGTTGAAAACCCCAATCCCACCAAAGAGAGAAAGAGAAAGTGCTCCTGTTCCTCCTTCCTCCACCTCAAAATGCTTGTTAAATGTCTTTTGGGGGGAAGGGCAGTACTGGGGTTTGAACTCAGATCCTCACACTTGCTAGCAAGTGTGCTCTACCACTTCAGACAAGCATCCTTGGCCTGAGATTAAGTCTCCCCACAATTCTTCCTATCAAAATCATTCATAATCACCTTCTTTTCCATCTTACTTTTCCTTCCGTTCTCTTCCTTTCTCAAGTGGAGGTCAATGTCAACTGCATGGGGTAAGAAGGGTTAAGAACCATACAGAGAAAGCTAGCAGCAGGCCTGGTATCTAAGGGTGCAGATCAGTGAGGGAACGAGAGGAGCAGCACAGAGGTGGCATCAGAGAAGGGGGCCAGCCATGGTGGTTGGAAGATCAGGCACACAGAGTAAGAGAATAAATGTCCTGAGGATGATAGAAGTCAAGTTTTCCGTTTCAAAAAAGATTATTTTTAAATGTAGAAAAGGAACAGGCTAGAAAATGCCCTGAGACAATGGAATAGAATTGGAAAGTTTGGTACAAGTGCATGGTTTAAAAAATATATATATGTGCATAAATATACAAATAGTGTGAATGCATATATGTGTAAATATATCTTATATACATATATTTCTAGTTAATCAGATGAGAGTAAATGGTCAGCCACCTAGTGGCAGGTTGATAACATTGAATCCTTCCATCGTCTCCAGAGGGATGAACATACGTTCCGGATATGATAATGCACCTGCCAGAACCACCATGCACAAACTTACCTCACATCTTATCCACCATCATGGTGTTCTACATAACATTTCTTCTGGTCAAGGAATCTATTTCATAGTAAAAGAAGTGTGCGAATGCCTGGTCTTATCTCACAACTATTATCCAGAAGTAGGTGGCTTACTAGAAAAGTGGAATAGCTTATTGAAGATTCAGTTACGAGAGCTGAGAGACAAATCCGTGTAGGAGTGCAGGTGTGTCTTACAGGGTGCAGCATATGCTTTGAGTCAGTATATGGTGCTATCTCTCCTACAGCCATAGGTCCAGGACTCAAGGGATAAAAGAAGAAGAGGCATCTCTCATTAATATACCTAATAACACACTCTCCAAATTATGGCTTCCTGTCTTGGTAACTTAGGAATTTCTGGTTTGGAAGCCCTGGTTCCAAGGGGAGAATACTTCCACAAGAAACACAACAATGATTTATTGAAATAGATTGATACCTGGCCACTTTGTGATCCTTAAGCCACTGAACCAAAGGCAGGAAAAGGGATCACTCTGCTGGCTGACATGATTGATTCTGACTGACAAGGGATGATTGGGTTGTTGTTTCACAGTGGAGTCAAGGAGAACTATGTCTGTAACCCAGGGGACTCCAGTGCCTCAGTGTCTCCCTGCCCAATAGTAAAGATCAGTGGGGAAACACAGCAACAAACAAATCGGATCTCCTAGCTAGGTAAAGAACTTTGGTTGTCTACACCTTCCAACAAGTTTCTAAGCCAGTGAGCAAGCCATTCCTGGGGACCAGGATTGGTTGCACCCTCTGGCAAGCCTCTTTGCCACCATCAGGCTATAAGTTCCAGTGGCACTGTGTCCTGCACAAAGAGGTCTTAATTTCAGTGTCTGGGGAGTGGGGGACTTCAAACTTCCTAGTCCTTCCGTGTTTACTCCTCCTCAGACCTGCAGATCATGCCTCCTTCCTGCATTTGCTATCATTCTACTGCTTAGTTTCTTGTACCATTGTACCCACTTTTTATACTTAAAAATCCATCTTAATACTTAATATGGAAGAGGAAATGTCACATGTCCAAATAACTGAAGAGGTTCCTGCTTCCTGTCTCAACCTGGAATACTACACTAATATAATAAACAAAATCTGAACCCCCACCTGAGCTTATCTGTTTCTTTATATTCAACCTCATTACCATTTTAACCAGCTTAAGTATTTATCCTTCCAGCCTAGAAATGCAGCCCTTTACCCTCCCCAGTGCTAGGTGTCTGCTTTTTACAATTTAACTTCATTTTTCATCTATGTTCTTTCATTCTTTCCTATTTTAAGCAAAAGACCTACTGTAAGTGGTAGGTTTATGGAATGTGAATAATTTTTATTCTCAATATGTAGTTTTTCAGAATATGATTTAGAAACTTGGAATAATGATTTTAGTTCTTCCTCTGCTGCCATAATATAATAATAATACAATGCAATGTTTTAAAGTCAAGTCCAATAACTTTATAGATACCTCCTGTTGGGTGTCTAAAAATAATAGTAGCACCTATGTATTGAGTGCTTAACTCGTCCTGTGTCATTTGTTAATACGTATGGAGTAATACAGATTTTCTGTCCTAGTAATCCTTCCAATGACAAGAAATAGTATCTTTCCTGTTTTGAATCTGCAGAAACTGAGACTCCAAGAAAGTACTCACTTAAAATCATAAAGCCTGGAAGAGCAGATTCCTTCTCTGAATCTCTGATGCAGACAGATATGTGACTGCAAGATCCACCCTCCCCCCAATTCCAAACATTTTGTGTGACTGATTCAGAAAGATCTGGCTGGCTCACTCGGAATCTGAGTGAAGTACGAAGGCTCATTCTTCAGCTTCCCTTCAAATTCCAAATGCCTCTCATTTTAGACGATAACCCCACTGCCTGGAATAGAAACCTACCGCACAAGAACTTAGCTAAGTGGTTCCTACACAGCCGTATTTATAGTCCCAGCAATGGTTCATCTGGGTAATAGGTTTGTTGGTATGCATAAAACATAGTCTTGGGAAGATAACAATTATGTTTTTTAGCAAATTAGATACGAAATTAACATGTTAACTTATTATAGGAGACGACCCATGCATATTTATTAATGGAGTGCAGCTCTACTTCCCACTGGATCCTGGAATAGTTCCATCCTAACAAATGCTCATTAATGAAAGCGTGGTGAAATGGTATCAGATATACTCAATTTCCACTGTGGTGCACTGCTCAGTGTTATAGAAGGAAAATACTGTTATCTCTCTCTTTTTATTCTCTTTAAAGAACACCAGACTTTGATGTGCCCCATAGTGTCTAGACCTCTCCTGTACACATACTCATTTCCTGGTTGATCTCGGCAAACCTCACAGTTTAACACACCATCTTTCTGCTGATTATTCCCAGATTGAAAAATCAAACTACCGACTACTTACTTATCAGCTTAAATAGGTGTCTAATAGTCACTGCTAACATGCCGTGTCCCTAAGTTCATGATATCCCCTCAAAGCCTACGCCCCTCGTGATGGTTAATGTTAATGGCAGCTCCATTCTTCCAGTCAACCAGTTAGAAACTTTAGAGCCTTTCCTGGACTTTCAGTCCATCAGTGAATCCTACCAGCCCTACTTTCAACATTATCTAGAAATGACTCTGTCTATCAGTACCTCCAACTCCTGCTTCTCCCTTTCCTCTTTCTCTAGGGACACTTGTAATAGTCCCATAACTGGTTTCCCTGTTTCTGCCCTTGTTCTTATTATAGTCTATTTTTGAAAGAGCACTCTGTGGAACCTCTGTTCCCATGCCTTCCTGACTTCCTATCACATTCTAAGTAAAAGCTGAACTCTTCACAGTGATGGAATGTCCTCACCGTCAGTCACCAATCCCCTTCCCTCTGGCTTCCCTTCCGCTACTTACCTTCCACCCCCACACTCTGTTCCAGCCTTTTTGCTGGGCATAGGACAGCTAGGCACCCTGCTAGCCCCTTCCTGTTCTCTTTGCTTGGCACACTTTGACCCCTCACTTGTATGCATGGTTCCCCCGCCAAGCCTGCAGGTCTTCACCCCAGTGTCACCTCCCACCCTCTCCACTTGCCACATACAATTTCCTCTTCTCTCCCTCTTGTTTCTTCTTCAGCACTTAACCACTAACTTGAGTAGTTCACTTGCTTGTCTAGTTTGTCATGGGTTCTTGACTAGAATGGAAACTTCACCAAACCTAGACTTTTGTCTGGTGCATGGACTGCTGGCTCGCCCATGCCTAATCCAGCTAGGCTCAGGACTCAAATTCCAGGATATCAGTTAGTACCTGAGTCTCTCCCACTCATATCAAGGCACCAGCCTTCTGCCCTGAGCACATCTCGTGAAGAAAGATTAATGTGGTTTCTTGATTCAGTCAACACATGTTAACTCAGTACCTGGAGAGGTCAGTCTGTCCTTTGAGTCTGGCCAAAGCCTTTTGTCTGGAAGCTACTGCACTGCTTACGCCAAGGAATCCAGGGCAGGAAGCCATTGCTAAGTAACAGGTTAGACACTGTGTCCTCTGGTGTTTGCCATGGGCTGCCTCCAATATGTGCTTTTCACAGCTGCTACTAAATCCAGGTCCATGCATACTCTGAGCCATTTAACACAGTTGAACTGGGGAAGCTGAGTTTGGCTGGACTGTCTCTCCGGGTCAGTCCCATGACTGGTCTAGTCCGGCTGTGGTCCTCCTGCTCTCTCTCAGGAGCTGTCTCAGTATGAGGGGCGTGCCTGTGAGGGCATGCCTGTAAGCAGCCTGCCTGGACTCATGAGGACTGTGCCTTATGGGCTTCAGTTTCATAGTATCTAATCTTGGGCCCCATACTTCCTGATTGGAAAAGCTTTTTAGAAAGAACAATCTGTTTTCCCAGAAAAATCATCTCTACATTGTCCAAATAAGCAACTAAACTAGGGCAGAGTGGGTAAAGAAGGATTACGAGACGGAGGAGTTGTAAACAAGGATCACAAAATAGCAAATAATTAAGTTGGTAAATGCATATGGCACTGCTGTGGCCTGTTTGTGTCCAAGGAGAATTCACGTTGAAATGCTAATTTTTGAGCTTATGGTATTAGGAGGCGGGCCTTTGGAGGTGATTAGGTCATGAGGGAGAAAACTTTATGAAAAAACAAATGGAACCCCAGGAGGCGGTGGGGGCACAGGGACACTGCGCGGGGACCCTGCGGCTCCCTCCCGCGGGTCACCTGGGGTTGAACTGGAACTGTTCAATAGCGGCCTCCAGGCTCTGGATGATCTTGTAGCAGCCCTGGGTCTTGGGCGTGTTGTCCCAGTCCTGGGTCGCAGCCTCTGCCATGGCCGCTGGGCGGTGCGCCTCCAGCAGAGCCGCGGTCTAGGAGAGTCCGAGTCCCGAGCTCTGCGTCCGTTGCCATAGCGACCCCGGGGGGAGGGGAGGCCCGCGAAGCGCGGGGATCTGGGGGCGGGGGTGAGGGCTAGCGCGGCGGAGCAGAGGGGACGCAGGACTGGCTCGAGCCACCGCCTGGCGCTGCCGCTAGCCCGCCTGACTCAGGGTTCGGAGACAAAACTCGCTCTTGGCCGGCCGGGCACTGGCCGGGCTGCCTCCCAGCGGAGCTGTGCCCCTGGGAGTAACCCGCGGGCCCCGCGCGTCCCCTCGTTCCCTCGCAGGGCTCTGAGCCCAGCCTCGCTCGAGGACCTGCACCTTGGGGAGGCTGGCATTGTCCCGTGCCTGCTTCCTTTGCATGGGAGACCCGCAGCGTGCTGGCGCTCCTGGGCAGGGCCTCCCACCTGCTGTCCAAGCCATCTCATAACTGTATTCGTGACATCATGAGCCCGGGCTCTCCCCGCAAAGCCATCAGAAGAAAGCAGGCAGCCTGATAAATTGCTTTATACCTGTCACTTACACGTAGGCGTTCCTGGCTAAAAAATTCCTTTGCAGAGATTAAGCAGGACTACATTTTAAATTAATATACAAGAACGCAGGGCGTTAAGTTTTTACACTATACTGTACATAGTGTGGAATTCTGTTTTGCTCAGTTTTTACTAGTAATAGAAGTTTATTGTTAGTAGTAAAAATTGCTCATCCTTTATTTTAAATTATGTATCCCTCACTGACAACTAAGGACACCTAATATCAGTATGTCATTTCCTTGTTTTAGAACTAAGTGTTTTTCATATTCATTTCATTATATTGTCTATAGGAAAATGCAGATTTTTTTCTTGTCTTCCTTATAATAACTATGTGAAAAAGAGAATTGTTTCGTATTGGTGCTCAAAATAGAAAAGAAAATTACTCTACCATTATCACTGATCTTATGTTTAAAGATTTAGGAATGAAAAAGCCCAAAATATCAAACAAAAACAACCAATAGCAAAATAATTTTCTGCCAAGGTTTGTTTTCCCTGGGGGAAGTGAGGAAAGGAGGGAGGAGTTGCTTTTAGTTGATGGAGGTTTTCATTTTCAAAATCTAACTTCAAATTTTATTTTAGGATATTTTTGTTAGATAATTAGAAAGTGTTTTAAAAGTAAGAAGTTTTCTTAAATATTTTTATACCACACTCCTTATAAGCTTCTAAAAATAAAGATTAAATTTCCAATTAAAAAAAATCCCAAATTGAAATAAAAAACCTGATCCCTTTAGAATGGGGCCACGGTAGTGTAAAAAAACCCTGACAGGTCATTGGCTGTTTTGCTTACACAATAATAAATAAGTATTTTGAAACTGAGGAAAGAGATCTCACAGTTGAGTTCGTGAGTCATTGGTCCAGCACCACACAGAATTTGTTGACTGAAAGGTAATGCATAGTTACACCATCCCACAAAACACGTACTGAACAAAACATTTTTGTTTGAAACTTTGCACCAGCATATCAAGAAGTTTCAGATTTCAGCATCTAAGAGACCAAGATATGATTATGATTGTGTTTGAAACTATGAGTCCCATAACACTTCTTTTTCTGGTCAGTTACCTATATTTTATCCTGCAGGTGTTCTGGCTTATAAAATTGTTCATTTCAGATCATATTGGCATCTGTCCTAACTAGGGTTGGAGTTATTAAAGCATTTGTCATATTGAATCCAGTCTTCTTGTATCCTGTGTTGAATTCATTAAGGGTCTTAGTTCATGATCTCTGGAGTAAACATTAAAAAGGGGACGGGAGGCTCTGAAATGTACACACTTTAGAACATCGAGTATTTAACGCTTAAACACTTCTGAGACTCTGTTTACTTACAAATAAAAACTGGATAAGGAACTTCTCCCAAAGTACATTGAGGGTAATCTGTAAAGTAGCAAAAGCCTGTAGTCCATAGAAACAAGCACCAGTCACGCTTTTAGAGAGTGCTACTTCTTCCTATACCACTACTATGGAACATAACTCTATTGCTTAATGTTCTCAATTTCTTAAAAGTTGAACGTTTCATACACTAAAATGATTTTTTACCTTCTCAGTGACTAGGACTCGGCACAACTGAAAACTTTTAAATACTTCTCCAAAACACGCACATGTATAAACATAGTATGTATTTATATATGAAAACATCACCCAGCAATTATTAAAAGTGATAACGTCCCAGATTAAGTGGCATGAGGATTTGATTAACAGTCAAGTGCTGACTCTGAACACTGTAATTTATATATTCCAGTGGGATATTATCACTTCTGTAGTCTAGTAAAAGCCAAGAGGTTTCAGTTTAGGTTTGTAATTTAAATTCTTTCTAAAGAGTCATCCTCTGTTCAAGTGCTTATTTTTCTTTTATCACCAGTCCTAATGTATGATTATGTGGTACAGGCTCTGTTATGTAAACTTGTTTTATGTCATGCTCTTCCATAACCAAACTTCTTAAGTAAAGGGTTGGGAAAGCAAATAGCAAGACCCTCAGCCAGGACAATTTCATGCTACTAAACCCTCCATGGAAACACTCCAGGGACCAGATCATTTCAGTGTCTTAAATTTTGCTGCACAGAAACAATATGCCCACTGCGGAAGGCCATTACATCACTGTCCCTTGGTAAAACAAAACCAAGAGGACAAGCAAGGTAGGGAGTCTGTGCAGGCACCACCTGGATGTGGAACTTGGGTCTTCCTGCCAAACGTCCTTGAGTGCTGGAGTGAATGAGTTCCTGTACCTAGAACTAAGTTTAGATCGTGATCCTTTCCAAAGGCACATTGGTAAAAATGTGAAAGAAATGGGAGAGCTTAGCTGTCTGCAGAAGGAGCCCACTGAGAGAGGATTGGGAAAGCCACACAAAGGGAAGTTTGGGGAATCTTTAAGGTATGTAACCTGCGACATTTCAGGACAAGCTGAAATCTGAATGAAGACGAATACAAGGCATTTTCCTTCTTTTTTAAAAAAAATTTTCACTTATCACACATTACTAATACAAAGGGGATTTCACTGTGATAATTCCATGAGAGGGTAAAGAATTGAACAAGTTCACCCCTGCATTATAATCCTGTTCCCTCTCTCCCTCCTCCCCCTCAGGCATCTTCTGTGTTCCATGCCATCTAAGAGTCATTGTTTGTTAAATGCACTTTTATTTTATGTGTTGCTAAGAAAGGGACAGCACTACCAGCTACAATTATACCTTGACACAGAACCCGCAAATTACAAATACTAAGAATTTTTCAGAGACCCTTTCTGGGCGCTCCATTTGATCAGAATATCCTACTTGCTCGAGAAGTAGAACATTCACCAGCCTTTCCCATAACTTGGGTAAAGTGCTTCCAAAGGCCATCACATTTTCTTTGTTCTTTTCCCAAATGATGTAGGAACTGTGAAGAAAATTTCACACATACACACAAATATATATATATATTGGTACTGGGTTTTGAACTCAGGGCCTTGTCTAGCAAGTGCTGTACCACTCAAGCAACCCTAGTCCTTTTTACTTCAGTGACGTTTCAGATAGTCTCTTGCCCTTTTGCCTAGGGCAACCTCTGATTATGATCCTTCTATTTCTACCTCCCTTGATTACAGGCATGAGCCACTATGCTAGGCCCTGAGAAAATTAAATTTTAGGAAAAAGAAAGGAGATCACCATAGGAGGAAAAGCTAAGGAATATTTTATGAGAAAGCTGATGGAGAACCAAAGGCAAAATCTGAATATATCCAGGGCAGGTAGAAAGAAAAAAGGTTTCAGATGTGTTCTTGGGAAATCACTCAGCTCATCAAAGAACACTCGTAGTTGTGATCCAATTTGTACTGGACAGGAACTCCACCACAGCCAAGTGGACAAATGGACAAGAAACAGGAGAATAGATCTCTTGCCCATGTGCTCACCTGAGAATTTTTTTTAAATCATAGGAAAATAGTAGGCTAGATAATCACACCACTAGATACTGAGTGTCTTGAGGAAAGAGTGTTTCTCTTCGTATAAATGAAGAAGGTGTTGTATCTGGGGCATAAAAAGGTGCTCAAAACGTTTTTAATTAATATAATTTAATATCTCTGCTCAAAATAGTAGAAAGAGGAATTCATATGGCTTCCACAAACTTTTCATGATGCTATTTATAATTAATTAATTTGTAAATGGAAGATTACATTCCTAATGTTCTTTTCTGTGAAAGACTATTAAAGATTCAGACCATGATAGGGCAACTAGGAGGAAGTGCTTGTACCACAAAACACTCAGGAACAAAGGAACATGCTCGTGTTCTGCTCTTACCTGGAGAGAAAGTTTGAACTATGTCTGGACTGTTGCCAAACCAAGAGAGGATTCCCTCATTCAGCTCATTTCACCTGAGTAATTCATTGGCAAAGTCCCTTTTGCCTGCCACAAGCCTAGGCTAGAGCTTTTTGTTGTGTCTTAATGAATTATAATTGGACTCCTCCTATCTCAATATTGTATCATTTTCTACTCTATTTTAATCCCTTTTAATAATTCTTCAGATTGCAAAACCTGATACAGCTTGTGGTTTGGGGTTTATTTTCATTGTCTTCTTAGCTTAGATGAACTAATAAGCTAGACTAACGTGTCCAAGGTCATGGACTTGGCTCCTGATTACCTCCCTTCCTTGGCTTAAGGTCGCCCCTCTCACAGTCACCCCTACCCCAACTCCTGTCTCTCAAATCTACTTATGTAATCACGAGTTGAATCGTTGGATTATTTGAGTGGATGAAGTGTGGCTACTGAATTTGCTACTCCAAGAACTTTGTCTTTCTGACAAAGGGCTCTTAGCCTTTAGTTTATTAGGATACCAATTAGCAAGTTTCAAGGCTCAGTCATAAGGACTTTCTTAGAAAAAGAAGAGGATGGGGATGGGGCATGGCTCAAGTGACAGAGTGCTTGCACATGTTCTGGAAAGAAGGAGAATGCATGGAAGACTCCATGGTGG